ATCAAATTATCTTTCTAAAGCGAAGTGAATTGCATAAATGTATCCACGTTTATTTGATAATTAACATGAATAGCATTGAGAGAAAACGGTGTAATACAGTTATGAGATATGTTTGATTTCATGTGAGGGTGTGATCTTTGTAGTGTTAAAGAAAGTAGGTTATCGAATAATCTATATGATGTATTGAATGTATGAATAGATAAAAGAGGGAAAAGATGAACATCTTGCGTATAATTCATGCACAGCTATTTTCTCGCCGACAGGTAATACTTTATTCCCATTGGCTAATTTACTTTTCAAAGAAATGTTTCTGTTTCGTCTATCTCTCTCTTTCATATACGCATGCGTATAAATGTTAATTACAAAACAAGGAGAAACCAACTATTGAATTAAAAATAAATTTAATTATATTTTTTTGAATCGACTTATCACTCTGTTACTGATATTCATTAAACTATTATTCGTTTACTATTATATGGATAATCCTGATTTAGACGCACAAGGTAAGAATATTTGGTCTCGAATTCTTTTAGATCAATTTGTGGCTGCTGTTGCATCTTTGGGAAATCGTATTGACCAACTGAAAACAGAAACATGGCGGTTAAATGATAAAACTAGATTAAACTCTCTGTGGGGTGAGGTTATTGACCATTTAAAATTGGATCATAGTCAATCAACACGTCATTCATTATATAAAATATGGCTTAACGATAAACATGAAGTCAAAAGATTAGTTGATGCAAAGCTAGAGAAGATCAATCGAAATGCAAACAATGACAGTGATATTTACGTTTCAAATAAAACTAATACAGATCTGCTTCCAGAACTATCACTTCCTTTGGCCCAACCACCATTGACTCGTAGTCGTGAAAGAAATGAAAATGATAATGTTAATGACGATGGAAACTCTTTTGTAGAACAAATATCAATTGTTTTTTCTACAACCGAATGGAAAGATGCATTTAGTCGTACTAAGCAAAAAATGAAAGATGATTGGACTACAAAAGTGAATAAAAAATTAACCGTTAAAGGAACAGGTATAACGTGTACTTTAAAATTTACAACTCCATATTTTAAAAAAGGAGAAAGAAAAAAAAAATGTTGTGATTTCTCTTGTAATATTACATGTACTATCAAAGGATGTAACAGAAAATATATAATGAAATGTCCATCTCTCCCGGATGAAAATTCATCAGTGTTATTCCTTGTTCAAATATTTGGGAAAGAGGATCATTCAAATGGACCTGGCTGTCGTAAACTTACGGGTAAAGAACGGATGTTAGTTGGTAAGGTTCATTAGCTATTTTCCTTCAAAATGTTATCGGACAATCTATATTCATATTACGTCACTGCTCAATGGACTCTAAAAATTCATTATTCTCTCAACCATGTTTAGCTATATCGACATTATTTCAACGCATTCCAACTGATACAGCAACAGAATTTTTTATTTATCGTTTAACTCCTCTACCCATTGTCTCCAATGGCAATAAATATATTTATTCAAATCTTCCAAAAATAATTGGAATAAATCCAACGTATCAATCAATAATTACATGGAATGACAACATTGATATTCAACAATGTACATTTTCGTCTATCATTCGGTGTGAACAAATGCCCATCTCAATGGCTATATCTAAATCATTATGTATATCTCAATTATTGAATGATGATCAATTAGTACTCGATGCGTGTCAAATTAGTCGATCACAACACATTGATCAAGATGTGATCAATATTGTTAATAACATTTGATTATTTTTTAATATTCGTCAAAATGAATACTGCCAAATTCAGTCACCACCAAAGCAACTAACTGAAACACTATTAGTGTCTGAACCATCAATCGTACATATGCCATGTGACAAAACAATCACATGTGCTAACAATCAATTACATTCATCATCATGCGCACAACATCGAATTATCCTTAGATCAACTATCCCATCAAAATTTGAACAGCTAACAAGTCGCATCGCACCACTGACAGACATGACCAGAACTTTAATATCGAACTATCAACAACAAACTGTAGAATCAATAAGAGAATTATCGACAGTTTTCGCATCAAAAAAGATCATGGATATATTTTTTTATGGGCTAGGTGTATTATTGACCATTGTTCTGGCACTACTTTCCTATATTGGCAACTATCTTATACACAAAGTACATAAACGAATACGCAAACTCAAAAATGAGATAGATGAAATCTTTACTGTATAGTAATATTTGTAAATATCTTGTTCTACTTCATGTTTTATTTCTGTAATTTGTTAATATTGAAAACTGAATTTTTTTGTAAAATACTTTTGTAATAAATTGACTTTCACAACGAAATATACGTTTATTTTATTGATTACTGTTATTCTCCACTGTAACTCATGCAAATCGAACGAATAAAGTGATCATTCCATGAACCTCATCGAGTTCTATCTTGATCTACCGTTGATCTGGCTTTATCTTATCTATAAGCAAAAGTAAATTAGTAATAGTAAAATTTA